GAAAATATTTTAAGGGCTTTTTTGTTAAGATCATATTCAGATGTGATGTATTTTCATGTTTTGAAAAAGTCTGGCTTCTCAGATTATGTTGTCCTTGACAATGTCTAGGAGTCAAGAGACCTCTACTGTAGCCTCTGATACTGACCTCAGTATAATGTGGAACAAATCATTAACCTGTATGTACTTTGATTTCTTTACGTCTAGAATAGATGTTAAGTTCTTTAGATTTCTGATTAATAACTGCTGAAGAAAGGCTTACATAATTGAGAAGTTAATAAATTACTTCTAATGGATATTTTGTATATATAAGTAAGGAAAAAGCCTGTGGTCAAGCATGCTTGCTTTGCTCTGCTGTGAAAAATATACAATCTCTAATAGCGGGGAAAAAACATGTATGCAACTTGCTAAATGTAAATATATATATGTATATCTCAAATAATGAGAGCTTATTCTAAGCAAAAACTCAGGTTTTGTTATAGTGCTCTAAAATGAACGAGATAAAAATAGAAAAGCCATTAAAAAGCAGTGTTGGCGAGCGAATACACCATTGTCTGTATAGAAATGATGCAACAAAACTGTACTTTTCATGAACGTGTAACCAATTGTTAGCCTATAACTAGTATAACCAGAATTGAATGAAACTTCTGTGTACGTTTCCTACTTCTTTACCTGTTAGTCTTTTGAGTTGTTTTCTTTACCCTTTTTCTCCGTGTGAAGAGCAAGCTACTCAAGGCCAGACGACAGTCCTCGTGGTGACAAGCGGGACGGTAAAATTTGATGGTGACAAGCAGCGCTACTTCAACCAGAACTTCTTGCTGACAGCACAAGCCACACCTACCAACACAGTGTGGAAGATCGCCAGTGACTGTTTCCGCTTTCAGGACTGGGCCAGTTAGCGAGGATTGGCTACGGGAAGTGACCTCTCTCATTCGACGTGTTAGCTGTCAGACAGCTGTTCTCCACACATGGGAAATGCTCGCTCTTCGTGTTGCATCTGTCATTATGGAAGGTCTACAGATGTTTCAGGGTTGATCCCAATGACCATGGGTTTAGTAGTAAACAATCTTAAAATGTGAGAGGTTGCTCATGTTAGTTGAACCTAATAAAATGCTGAAGGCAGCGAGCTGTGTTGGAATCATTCCTAAAATGCCTTACATGCGGCTATGCTGCCACTTCCAGACTTCTTGTATGTGATGCTGAATGCTGAAACTCCACTATTTGGACACAAAATCCTCTTAATGTACAATTCTGAACCAAATGTGTAATTTTTTCAACTTGAAAAGATCTGTTTTTACAGTAGCATCTTCCCTCTTTTGAAGAAGATGCTTGTGGCATGTAGATAGAATTCTCAAAGCTACCTACTCTTGGTTGTAAGAGGTTAGCAAGGATTGACAATGATTTCTACTGTTTGTGAAAGCAGCAGAGAGAGCTCCTGAGTGTGTAATCTGTCAAATAATCCATTGGAAAGCTAATGTTACCTTCTCTGATGTGAAAGGACTAAATCATCTCATCAGGTTTCCTTTTGGCTTAAGCTTCTCAGGCTTTGGTTGTAGTTAATTTACGTTGATTCGTACGTAGGACATGCTGAATGATTCAGAGCTCCTATGCCAACAACTCGTCACATGCATGTGAAGGACTTCAAACTGATTATTTTTCTTTTGAGGTCTTACAGTGTAAGAAATAGGTCAGTTACATAATTTCTGTTTGCTTTAACTGTTAATTCTGTTGCTATGAAGTTTGGACTATTTTTCCCATATTCAGTCTGCAAGTTTTGAATCCCTACTGTCTTTTCAGGAAACATTGCAGTAAAAAGTGGCACTGAAAGTGTGTATTACTGTGAAGCGTTCAATTTTTCTCTTCAGTACTGTTATTCAGAACAGGTGCTTTGATTATTTTCAACTTAGAAGAACAGCTCTGAACGCAAATACCACCTTCCTCTCATGCAGATTTTTACTGTAGTTTTTATGTTCTTCTTAAATATTACCTTTAATTACTGATTCTGGGGGATTTTGCTTTGAATTTGCAGTTTAAAGCTTTCAGCTGCTTTAAAATAGTTTTCAAGACTACAGGTTAAGACCACGCATCTTAACTTGGGAACATAAGAGTAAATCTGAGTATCAGCAGATTTGTTTCAAACTGGTACATTGCTATTTTAAGCTGAGTAAAAAAAAAATCAAAATTTAGCTATGTACGTGCGGGTACACTTGCTTGTAACCAAACACACACGAGGGGAACTTGTAACTCTGATCTTAATACATGTTGCAATGACAGCAGCAACCTGAACACAAAAGCGGTTACGGCTGCAGCTCATTTGTTTCTATGACTTAAATCGGGAAATCTGTGAAAATAAGCAATATCTAACTTGTGTAAAACATCTTAAAACGTCTGTAGTTTGTGATATAATCCCACAAATAATGGGACGTTTAGGTGAAATGGGTGGTTTTCTTTCCCTTTAAGGCACTCTAGTCTTTACATCAGTAAGTTAGAATTAGTAACCTGTCTCTTCAGAAGCTGCTTATGTTCTGAACTATTGTGTAACTATTTTTCAGCCTGAAGAATATGAATTCTTGCAAAACAAGAAGTCCAGAATTTTTGAAAACTGTAAATACATTGTTATTTCTGTATGCAGTGAAGAAAGGATCCCTCTATTTAATTACTGTTTGTTCTTAATAGAATATGCAAGGTTCATATATTTGTATATGAAGAATCTACAAGTTTGAAAAGAAAACCTGAAGTTTGCCTGTAACTGATATAGTATTGTTGAACTGTGACACTGGTGTGGTGTGCCTTTCTTTTTTTTTTTAATTTGCCGTTGATTATATAAGTAGTGTTACAGATCTGCTTTGCATACACAGAACAGGTTTGATTTTTGAAATGTAGTAATGGGTGCAACTGTAGCATTTTAACTTCGAAGGCAGTCACCAGAACACACAATTATATCGGTAGCTGGTAAGCTTGTCCTGGGAGTAAATACTTACTGGATATTTTTATTCAAATTTTAATTTGTATAGTATTTTTTTAAGCTTTTTATAGGCAGATTGGGAGATTTAGAATATATGAGGCAATGTTTCAGTCAAACGTTATTCTTCTCAATTATTTTCATGCTATTCAAATGCAGGCTACTTTTAAATCTGACTTCTGCAATTAATATTAAAAAAACCTACCACTACCTGGAACATTGCTTAGGAAGCTTACTAACTGGCCTAGCTGGCCAAATCCGGTTTAAACTCTTACTTAGTAAGATGTGTAGTTGGAATTGGACTTGGTATGCATACAGGGGTTTTTAGAGAGAAATTTATTATAACATAAGTCCTTCAGTCTAGGGAGAAGTGCCAGTTATGTACTGCCTATTTCCATCATCTTCGATGAGGATCACTTAGGGTGATTCAGCACTACCATATTAGCTGTTGCTCTTTATGACTGAAAATGCTGTTTTACAGAATATTTTTATGGAGCTTACTAAGTGATAATGTAGCTATTAGATTAAATCAGTGATTTTACAACTGAGTAATTAATGGCACAAACAAAAAATTTCTTCCATACTAGCTAGAGAAGTTAGCGATACTGCAGTTCTGTGCTGCTTGTTAAAACTTCTGTGCTGAAATTAGCAGAAAAGCACACGCAAATGGTTTTTATTCTGTTCAGTACAAAACCATCTGGCTGGTTTAGTGTTCCCTGTTGCTGACTCTGCTGTAATATCTGAAATTTACAATGAGCATCTATAAAGTGAACATGTTTATGCTCTTAAACTGTAAACAGGAGTCAATACTACCATTTTTTCGTGCTTGATACCAATTTACTCATGTACAACCGGTCAGTGGAACAAAGCCAGCTGAAGAGCTAAGCACTTCCACATACTAAATTGTGGGGCTACTGAAGACTTCATAGATCTTCTCTTTTCTGTGTATTCCCTGTATTGTCTTTATCAGTCACTATTTTTATGTTGCTTTGTTCTTTTGGCATACTACAGTTAAATTGACTTAAAATACTTGTGCTGTTTCTTGGAATGGAGAAAAGTGGATTGTTCTGATGGTATGAATGATTTGTTCTGATGGTTTTGATATGCATACACTTCCTTATCCTGATTGGAGAAAAGCACATTGTAAAGAAATGCTGTTTTATCACTAAAGTAACTTTCCATACTTGAATATATTTTGTAAGTTTTTGAAATTGTTTAAGACTTCTTGTAAGATTAATTTAAAAAAACAAACCAAAACAACTACCTGATGTTCTGCTTTTTTTATTATTATTATTAGAAGTTTTCATAGTTTGTTTTTATGATATTAAAAGTGCAAGAAATAATTTGTGGCTTCCTTATCTTTACTGCTTGTGTTCTAGGTATGAGTTATGTGTTCTGATTGTTGCAGCATGGTGCTGGGGCACTGCAGAACAGGCTGGCTGTGAGCTCTTTGTCAGTACTGCAGTAAAAAAACCCGTGTCTGGAATAATAACCCTGTAGCAAATGCCTCACCAAGAGCACTGTCAAGCAGTAAAAGGTGAGACTAACAATCTCAAATTGACGTTTCCCTCTAAAATTTATTGAAGTTTAGACTGCTGTCCAACAAATACCTGGATGAAGTTAAACAAAACTTGTGCCAGATCCTTGGATTGTAAATATTTTCACTGAGAACGTATTGTTGTGCCTCAGCTGTTTCTCTATGGTGAAGAAATGAAACACTCAAATAAGGAACCCTGTGATAACTCTGGTGATTTATTCACTTTATTTTGCTGTTTAAAACTTCAAATTACTAATGAACACTTACACAGTGTAGATAGCAGCTTTTAATTGCTGGCAATGTAAAGATGAGGATGCTAATGCAAGGTCAGCATTTGCGTAGAAACAAACGTTCTAGAAACATGTTCTAGAAACAATGCCAAATACATTGGGAAGTTCTTGCTGTGTTTGAAGGTGTAGATTTCAGTGAGGCTTTGCAAGCAATCACTTTTTGTAATTATCCTGAGCAAGGCTCTGACAGCTGATGCAGTGTAAAGGTTTAGGAGCGATGAGAAAAATAAATCACAGTTAGGGCCAAAACAGAAGATATTTTTGCATGTATGTTGAAAGTGAATCCAGAAATTGCTCTTTCAATATTCCCCCTGGGCTGAAGAAAAGAGTAGTTAAGTCTTTCTAAACAAGCTTTGCTTTTCTGATTCTAACTGAAAAGTAGGTCATTGATAGCTGAGCTTATTCCTTCAGAAGGCTGGGTTTAATAATATAAATAAATATATCTTGTTATCTTTTGTGTCCAGTGATTGAATGGACTATGGAGACTAAATGGCCGTTTTGCTCTGCATCAGCAATACAGGTGCCTTAGAATATACTATTGATGGAAAAAAGTGTGTTGAATTTCAGTGGCTAATTTTTGTCGTCTTACAATCTAATTCAGTTAAGTCCCAATGGGTTTGCAGCTTCATGGGTTTTTAAGGTTTCCAACCAGTACACAATGTATTGGATTTATTAAAACAAACAAAAATAAGTGAATGTTGCTGCTGGGCTTAATACTTATTTATCAAGGTCTCTGTATGCCACAACATGAATTCCTCTTAGGTGTTCAAGTACTTTGATGTGTGTATTCATGCCAACAGAGTAAGAATGAACTCGAGGTGAACTTACGTTACCAGCTCTGCAATGTGACGACCTGTCAGCAGCAGCATGTTCCTAGGTTCTGAGAGTTTAAAGCACATTTTTCTTCAGAACCCAACGCATCCGTGCTGAATCCTTAGGCTCATCTGGATGGAACAATCCATGGGGGCACTGTGAGTTCTTATGTGTAACTGAATTGATTTAGGAGGCTTGAATTCCTAATGGACTGAAGTTTTGCTACTCTGAAAGGCTTAATTTTGTTATATTTCTCCCAGTCCTGGGGCTGGGCTGCTTGGTAGGGCAGTCTAACCTGGTTTCGTAGGGTTCCTGTTTCCAGCTGAACTCTATGGGTGTTGCTTTCACTGGAGAGTCTTTGAGAAAGTTGCCTCAGCCTTCTCCTTGTCTGTTTTTACCAGTTTGCCAGTAGTGTTCATCGGGGGGGGTACGCTTTCTTTGACCTTCCTCTTCTGGCTGACATACCTGTAGAAGC